TTTTCTTAAAATGTGATCCAGTATTTTCAGTTCTAAAACCATGGGGTTATTCCCAATGGAGTTTGTATCCAATGTGTAAACTTCACTTAGTGTGTAAAAAGTCATGTTTAAAATGCATACTGCAGTACGTTTTCTTTTATTCTCTGGCTATATCGCTGTTCTTTATTTTTATTATTTTTTTATACATTGAAGTAATTTGATCTTGCCAAAAAGAAAACTCGTGGTTTTTTTTTATAAAAACGTACATATACTCACATTTTGAAACCTGAGACTGAAATTTACAAGGGATCATCTACGTGATTATGTAATGCTGAAAATTACATTGCTATAAATACAAAAAGGTTTGGAAGTTATTTTTCTTGTTTTGACGATATGAAAAAGTTCTATTACTTCAAATTTTAATTACTGTAATAATATACAAAATATTATTTTGCTAATTTACTAATATAGCTAACTTGGGTGTACAATAAAAACGTGAATATTTTTGCGTATTAATAGAATTATTGCATTGAAATAATAAATTAAAAATTTTGATACTTTTTTCCGTTTATCTACTGATCTCAAACATATCTAGTAAAAATTAAGACAACTTCATTTATAAAACTATTATCAGCTAACACAATCGCACATTTATAGAAAATAAAATGTTTTATTTAGTTCTTATCATAGTTTCTTTGGGTTAGCTTATTCCATTTTATAAAAATTCACTGTACAAGATTGTGCTGATTTGTTGAAAAGTTCAATTCCTTTATTATATTTTCAACATTTGAATGTTAAAATTGAAATAAAAATTCTTCTCGCCTTACTTACGTAATTATAACTCTCTGTTATTTAGTTGTCACATTTATAAACTTTTTAAAAAATGGATGTACAATTTGTTACACTTAGCATATAATTTTTTTACTGTCTTTCAAACGAGACTAAAAATTATCTTTTTCCATTCTTAAATAATCCGAAGCAAAATAAATCCATTTACATTATATTTTAAATAATCCAACAACTCTTTGGACGTTTTTGGTAAGTCGGTTTATTTCTTTAAAAAAAATAGTAAAAGAAAAAAATACATAATTATTTATTATATTACAATGACTTGAATGATTTATTATTGGCAAAAAATTGAGATCGTTCGTTTTAACTTAGAAAATATTTAATATTTTTATACGTATAATATATAATTTTTATAATGTAAAAATTAAAATTTCTTTATTTATAACTAAAGGAAAATTATTTAAAATAAAATATCTCATTTAAATAAGTAACAAGAGAATAGTTATTCAATAGATGGATATTTCAAGTTTGGGAAATAGAATGACATAAATGTATATGCTTCACATTTTATTTAATAACCTTTTATCCTAAATTTTGAAAAAATAATTAAAAATAAAAATTTGTAAAAAATATCCATAAATTAATCAAAAAATGTATCATTATTCTGTAAGTAATAAATTTAACAAAATAAAATATAAACATATAATATTTCAGTATTCATATACAATAAAAGTATTAAAAATGAGAAAATTTCCAGAAATATAAATTGTTTACTTAATGCGCTCGCAAATATTATGATGTAAAGTGATTGTCATGTTAAATATTGTTGGAATCTATATGAATGTCAATATGTTTGTTTTTTTTTTTAGACACATTTTTTTTTTTAAATAACAATCCTGATTTATTATTGTTTACTCCCCTATTGCTTAACATCATGTTTTATTACTGTCAGTTATTTCATATTTAATTTTAATCATAGTATTGTTGTAAGTTAATAAATAAATTGTGAATTGTTTTATAGTAATTTGAAAATAATTTATTGTTAATAATATTTGCCCATAGTCATAAAATAGTCCGGATTAATGTGTGTGGAAGAAGTTAAAAATTATATGTATTTAAGAATAAATAACCCTTTAAATACGTATTAAATTATATTATTAAAATTAATAAAACATTAATACAAAAATTATTTTTGATTAATAATGATTTTTGACACAAGTATTTTGGAAGTTATTGCCTTATTAAAATGTATACAAACAATAGAATGCTGGTAAGATATGGTTATGAATATTTTTATGTTACTAACATTTAGTAAATAATAGATAAATTTGGAAGTTATTCGCAATTATTTAAAATTAAATTTCAAGATGATTAAACAAAGAAAATGATTAATTTAAAGCTCTCAAATAAAAATTTGTAACTTTCCAGCTAGACATTTCTAGAAATTTCTAGAAACACAAATTATAAAACAAAACCATTAGTGTTTTTAAAATATTAAATCATTTAATTAAAAATATTTTTTGAAGATTTTTTATGGTATACAAAAATACATGAACAATAACTGGTATTCTACTATTACAACTAAATGAGTACATAGTCATACTTTCTATCAGTAAATTATAATAAATCTATTCAATATACCCTATTTAAGTTTATAGCCTGTGAAATAGTAATCAAATAAATGAATTATTACTGTCTATTGCAAACAATTTATAGCGTTTAGTTTTCATGTGCAAATTATTCTAGTCAATCATATGAACACATATTATAATAAATTATTACCCGTAAAGGTTATGATATTCTAGGGAAATTAAGCTTTGAATTTATTGAAATTGCAGTGAACAAATATATATTCTCTTAGCTTTCATACAATGTTATACAGATGTATTATTTAGTTGTTAAATGTATGTTGGAATCGATTTCTAGCCAAAGGGTTACTTGCAATTGATCAATTTCCAATAAACTAAATTCAAAAGTGCTTTTTTGGAAATGTAAAACGTTGTATTCAACATTGTAAAAGGATATGTATCCGTTTATGTAAGTAAAATTGAAATTTGAGTTCATCAACAAACTTGTGAAGAAAAACAAAAAGGTCGCATTTGAATTGATGCTCGTTAAAAGCTTTGCCGAACGCTTGTCTAGTTAAACATTTATGAAGAGAACACATTTTTCTTCTGGCCTGAATTATTAAATGTTTTTGTTTTGACCTGTCATGAAAACCCTAAACTATAAATTTCTTAAAATTGGAACTAGTTTTAAGCATTTTTAGTGATTTCTTTTTTAGAGGCTAGGATATTGCTCATTACATTAAGTATTAGTCTTTCCATTACACGGTAGATTTACTCTCTGTGTTTAAAATTTAAATAAATAAGCATTTCGGTGGTGAAGTTAAGAGAAGTCGAAACACCTTTCCCTGTTTATACTCGTACTGATGTTCAGAGTAAGTAATTCAATGGCAAGATGAGGTGTTCAGTATTGATCATATACCCTCTTGTAGTCCTGCCACGTTGAGGCCAAATAACGTCACTGCATCAGGTGATATAAAATAAGTAAACGTTTTCACTTGTATTGTCGTATTTCATAACACTCGTTGTTTGCTATTAAATATTTGTCAATACTAAGGTACCATTCAAGTGTTGAAATTTTTATTTACACTATATAAAATTTAAAAAATAATGTCAAACGATTTTGTTTATTTTTATTGAGAATATTGATATTTAATGCAAAGCATACATTATGTAAATTTAATAAGAAAAAATACCTTCGGTAATAATATTCTTCTTAGGTAAATATTTAAATTTATAAATCATAGTTATATATCACATCATAATACCATTTTTATTATTTCGCTTACATAATTAGTAAATTATTGTAACGCGATAACTGTTTATTATGCCATAAAATAATCTCTCTTACTTCGCAATATCTATTTAAACCACATTGATTCATCGAAATAGATGAAATTTGTAAAAATAACATTTGCGAAAATGTAAATTTTTTGTATGACGCAAAATTAATAATTACATTATATATGTGGTCCTACCTGTTCACATTTGCGTTTTCGATTATATGATAATAAAATAAAAAAATCATAGTAATAATTATTCAGGAAATGCGCTGTTGGTGAATCCACGATATTATTTTATTATCATCAATTTTTTTATTTAAATGTATAAAATATTCATGAAACAGTGTAATGACAAGGGTCCACAGTGATGGATGATAACCATAGCCTATATTCATGCAATGTCATTTTCTTCGTCTTGCATTTTATTATAACTTTTATTAAAACTTTAGATTTTTTTTTCACTATTTCACATTTAAAATTATCAATATTACACAAGCAAATAATTATATGAGAATATCGTCGACTATAAAATTTTATGTGTACGCATAAAACTCAATGAAGGTGCCATTATATGTTATAATAAATAATGCACGAGACACAAACTTTTTTTAAGTATAGACGTAACTAAATCAACTAATAAACCTTTTCTTTATATCATAAAGAAATCTATGTCCAAAATGTTTCAATAAAGAATTTTTATTTGTAACAACCCGTTTAGATCCCATTATCATTGTGACTCACAATTTGTTGTTGCTATATTTTTTTTTTTAGAAAACTTCTCCATGCCACAATATATAGCTATAGCCATATGTGTGATATGTGGCGGTAAAATTTGACAAACTAGGTTTATGAAAATAAAAAATAAACATCTGCAGTTAAAGAACGCAGTGTGGTCTCTGAAGACATTCCGTAACGGCTGACTATTTATCTTGTTCTTTTTATGATGTTTCATCACACTGTAATGCATTTTGGTTGTATCATATTGTTGTTGTACATGGAAAATAGGGACAAGGCAAAGACCATTATAAACCAATGACACTTGTTCATTGAAATATCAAAGCCGCCAAATATTATTGTACTTTTTAAACATAATAGCTATACTGCTTTACTACAGGATAGGGTTGCGCAGTGCTGCATTCAAAGCTCGTGCATTGAGATAGTAATTGTAATAATAATAATAATAATGACTGTCTAAATATTCGTAAAGCCAGAGGTGAGCAATATAACGATAGTAGTGCTACCGCGTAATAATACTAAAATTGTTGAAAAAACTTTTAAAATGTGTGTAAATAATACTAGATATCGGTGAATGTGTTTTTCACGTGTGTACACTGTGTACGTGACGGTGTGTACGATTGTATTTTTTTGCTAAATTGCTCTGTACCGTTTTGATGATTGGAATTGTGTCTGAATTCGCTGCTTCTGTCAATGCTCGTCTGAGTCGGGCTCGACGTGCCTGGGTTCCCTGAGCTGCCAATGTTTGAGCCGATAGCAATACTCCCGCCTGGATCCCATAATAATAATAATATATATTTATTGTAAAAATTATGTTGATCAATTTTTTTATAATTCATAAAAACATTAATCATATAGTAATAAAACATTATGATTTATTGTTACATTAGTACTTTTCTTTCGAGAGTTTCACTATGTAAAAAGTATAAATTTAAAATTATGTTTTTTTACTAGCCAAGTAATTAATGGTTAACTGTAAAAACCAACTAAATTCGATGAGATACTAGTAGTTTGTTTTTTACAACGCCAATCTAGTAACGCTGTTGTACGCAACTTTTAATATTTTATGATTCAATCTTGGACAAAATATTTGATTAAGTGTCGGAACAACAAAATTAAATTAAATTAAGAACGAAATTTATTTAATATTTCAACGGAAAGAAAATTTAATGTAATATTAGTTTATTTATGTTTTTAACCAACAAAATAACAATAAATGCAAAAGTATTTAATTTATAAGATAAAAAAGCACAGCAAGTTACTTCTATGATCGAAAAATTAAATAATATAAATATAATTTGAAAATGTATATAATAATTATTTTTTCAAATTTTTATATAACTGTCTTCTTATCAAAACATGTAAACAGTTTGTAAACAATTGAGAATGTATATCTATTTCTGGCATAACCTGTAAAAGTCTTTTATTCTATAATATATCATCTTTTTTGTTACATTACCATTATAAATGTACTTAATTTTTTGAGTACAATACCAAATTAGAAAATATAATAAAATGCTTTAGGTTATAATATAAAAAGCTACTTTGAGTTTTTGTTTTATTTCTCTAATTGTTCACAACCCAAAAACTTTTATTAAGAAATTCATTTATTTTTAGATAAAGTAAATCAAGATCCTTATGCAAATAATCTTAAGATTAACTTAAGTTTGTAATTTATTCGTAAATATTATTTATAGAACTAAAATAATCTATTTTTAAATAAAAATAAATTCAAATTTTGCCATAAACAAAATAGTATGTAATTCTTAAATAAAAATTCAAATAGTAACGATTCAAATAAAAAAAAATCTAAGTTTAATTGATTAATTTTGATATGCAACAATTTTCAAATGTCATATATTTTGAAATATTTAAATATTTCATTTTTACAATTATTATACTTATATATTAAAAAAAAATTACGAAAAATTGATTACATTATAAGTTAATATATTAATATAATTATTTGTACTGGTAATACTGTGCTGAAAAAGTTATTATACTAGTAATTTACTAAGAAAATATTGAATATATTTAAAACATACATAAAAAAAATGAATAAAAATAATCAAAAATAATCAAAAATTATTTTAAACTTCTAGTCAAACTTTCAAAAATATAGTTGTCACTTTAATTTTATTTATTAGTATATTGTTAGTTTATATAACTAGTTGAAATTCGATTGTTCATAATAAATTGGATTTTTCTTAGACTACAAATGTTGTTATATCAGTTTTATTTACTATCCTATTTTTTTTTATAAAAAAATACTATTTGTACCGCGAAAATAAAATAATTTGTATATTATTTACATTAAATAACCAAGTCACTTATTGGAAATAAGGTCTAGTTCGTTTTTTTATTTGCGTTGAGTGTCGTTATGTAATGGGGTTATTACTATTTTTTATTCGATATTGCATTAATATATAGAAATAAAATTTACTATAGCCAGTGTTGAAATAAGAATTTTTTTTATAAAATTTTAAGCATTAATGCAACCAAAAGAATTTTTTTTTCATAGAATTACTACAAAAATAAAGCTGATGAGCAAAAAAAAAAATGGTTTTTAAACACAGTATTAAACACCATGATAAATTCCAAACATCTAAAGTCACTTTAAAATAGTTAAGAAGTATACTTGGTATTCAATACTGACTGCAGTTTCCTACCATAATTTAATTAATTATACAAAGATTTCAACTAGAGTAGTTGATTTTTTGTGCAATAAAAACTTTTTTTTTATCAATCAAATATAGTAATTTTATTAAAATTATGTAGTATTTTGATTAATTGTGTTATATTTTATATTTAAGATATTTTTCTGAGTACAAATTTTTCAAATAAAGATCCGTCATTTTTTAATTTTTTATTTGAACAATTCAATATTAAAATTGAAAAAAAGTATCACAAGTTTAAAATAAAATTAACTTTATTACAAATTAATTAAAAATAGTATTAGATAAGTTAGAATGATTTTAAAAAGTTTAAAAAATTTTTTCTTATGAAAAAATCTAAAATTTGGAATTTGAAAATAATGACAATGATTTTAAAATTATAAATGGACAAGTTTATAATTTTATTATTATTACTATTAATAGTATGCAAGTAATTCGATGCTATCAATGAATTTTGTAAAACATATATATCTGAGAATTTGATAAATGAAATGGTTAAACATAAAAACTAACCACCTCAGAGATTTAGATCGTCAATTACAGATTTCATTGTGGTCTTTTATAAAACGACTGTATTTATTGAGCAATTTTCAAACAAATGAATATTTTTCCATCTGTTATTTTACCCAATCACATCATAATATTAGAAAATTACACTCATAGTAATCTTTAATAAATAATAAATAAATAAAAGTTTAGCGTATGCATTTAAGTAAAATTAATCAACAATTTAAAAAAAAAAATATATTTTTTATTCGGATTTGTATTATATAATTATAAAAAGGTACAATATTTAGACAAAAAAAATGAAAAGAAGTACAACACTTTTAATAACATATTTGAAACTTAAGTAAATGCCTACAGGATAAAGATAATTTAAGTGATTAAAAATGTTGCATACGTTTAATTATATTATAAAAGTATAATATTGAAAAAACGTATTTTGTTTTCTAATATAAACCAATTTAATTTGAACAATTTATTGTTTATATTAAGATTGATTAAATGAATGGATAAAAATTTTTTTTTACAAAATAATTTTTTCTTATAAGAAGAGTACGTTATATATAGATTGTGAATATATATATATACATAAAAGATTTGATTTTATAATAATTATTTTTTTGTTTATTGATCATGAATATGACATAAACGTAACATGTTTAATAATTACACTAATAAACTAAGAATTACCTAAAGCAACTCATATAACAAGTATATATTTTTAACTGTAGGTAAGATTTAATTGATTAAAAGCGAAATACTACAATAGTTATAAAAATTAGCATTTAAAAATTATTGTTAATATTGTCATCTAATGTTTTTGGGATAATAATGGTCAGTATTATTGGTATAAATCCCTCTCTTAACTGTCGTAAATTTGTATATAAAGTAACTTATACATGTTGTTGTTATTAATTTTTTTTTCTATTAATAACGTTTATGCTTTTTATTATAATAAATTGCGTGTTAAGTTTCTTTTTATTAAAGATGTATTTTTAATTTATTTACACATTTACTTAAATTACTGTGATTATCAGTAACTGTTTTACAACCCAACCGCGATAACGTGATTTCTTGAATGAGTTTCTATACAGAGTGATTTTTTTATCATAACCCACTCAATTACTTACAGAATAATAATAAATTAAACATTTTTTTTTCGATTATCTTTAGTTACACATCATTCTTGAATTATTAACTATGTAATACTTTTTAAGTTCATCCCTTATGCCTGGTAAGGGTGTCAACTTTGTTTTTTTAATGGGAACACATATTTTGAATTTAATAAAATGTTTGAGTTTTTAATTTAATAATAAATGGCATTTGAATTTTTAGTATAACTTTAGTATAAGTTTCAAATTTTTGAGTTAATATATAGGTATAATACACAAGGGATTACAAATACAGGTAGCTAATTGATTTTTTATGACATCGATATTAGCAGGTACACAGCATTGTTATTATCAATGATAGTAAGGTACATTGTTGTGAGTTTATAAATACACTAACCAACAATACAAAAAGTATATCTATTGATAGTCATAATTGATTATAAACAATCCGTGACTGTGATAGCAATATCATAAAAAACCAATTAGCTACCTGTATTTGTAATCCCTTGTGTATTATACCTATATATTAACTCAAAAATTTGAAACTTTAAATGTTTATATCTAATAAACAAATTAAGTTTCATTAAAAATTCAAATGCCATTTACTATTGAATTAAAAACTCAAACATTTTATTAAATTAAAAATATGTGTTACCATTTAAAAAAACAAAGTTGACACCCTTACCAGGCATAAGGGATGAACTTAAAAAGTATTACATAGTTAATAATTCAAGAATAATGTGTAACTAAAGATAATAATAAAAAAAAAAATTTAAATTATTATTATTCTGTAAGTAATTGAGTGGGTTATGATAAAAAAATCACACTGTATATATATATATATCTTTATTATCATATGAAAACTAGACTCTAGACAACATTTTGGTCAAATTTAAAATAAACAATCAAACGGTTTTTTTTTCGTTTCTTTCATATTAATCAAAGAAAAGAATTCTTTTTTTATGATAACTCTAAGTTACATTAAAATATTTAATCAAAAATATTAATAATTTTTTTTTTATCGGATATTGATTATTTTTAGTCCCACCAAGTAAATTTGTAACAAGAAGACTTAAAAATTATAACTGAGTATTTATTTAGCTAAAATAGGTCTGATGATGAAATTGCATTGATATTACAACGAATACTGTAGAAAACATTAAAAAGAAACGCTAAAGTAACAGATGTTTTTTGAATAAATGCTTAGACAAAAAATCCAAAATCCTATATTTCTAAATATTAAATCAATTGAGAGAATAACAAGCTCTCGTGAAATTTTTAATAGCTATGTCCAACAAAAAGTGTCTGCATTGCTTTATTTTCGATCCTAATAAAATAAAATACTATAACTATGCTTTATGATTAAATAAATGTTTGAACGATTCACTTAAAAAGATACTTTACAAAATGTGACTACTCAATCTATTTATACTTTTTCTTTGAGAAGTAATTTTTGTCACTTATTACAACAGTTTTATTATTTCTAACTGCAAAAAAGGTGAATCGATTTTAGAAAAATAAATCTAAAGCCATTTTTTATTTTAGGAAAATATTTAAACAAAAATTAAAAGATTCTACTCAGGAAGAAGAAAAAAGTACAGAAATTAATCAAGAAGAAGATGTAAATGATAAAGAAACGGAATAATAACGAAAACAAATAAATGCTAAAATATTTAGTACGACTTGAATCCTAAAAAATAACATATGTTGTTTTTGTTAGCTTTAACCTAAATCAAAGTGATTAACTATATACAAACTATAATGTCTGTATACTATGTCTGAATAATGTGATTATATTGATACGAAATAAGATTTATTTCAAATTTGTTAATCTCTTACTTAATCGTCAGGGATTTAAAACTTCGGTTCTTAATATACTTTCAATAGTGTTTATAATAGAAGAACTACAACGTCAGAAAGATAAAGCATTGCGTAATCACAAATATCTGTTATCATAGATTAACTAAATCATAATTGATAAGGTTAAGGGTGTAAACGGAGTAATAATTATTTCTATTTCAACCCTAAATTTACTTCCTAATTATGGATACCATTCTATTGTGCAATTTTAGATATCAACAAAAAAATTTGTTCAGAAAAAGAGTTATTTCAAAAAAATGTTATGATCTCTAAAAACTTAAATGTGCACTACTGCCGGCAAAAGAAGGCTGATCTTGAAATGTGTACCGCGATGTCATAGTAAAAGTACATCATGAAATTAGATATCGCAAACCAAGGCGTCGTATAGAAGCACTTTGCCAAATCCCCACAAAGTCATCTTTCACTTATGTTTTAGATCTCAATACCATTTTGTACAGTTTAATATGATATTAACTTCAAACAAAATATAAGTAAAAATAATAATGTTAAGTAATATTAGGAAGTTAGCTTGCTATGAAATTTTCATTATTATCTTTAATATTTGATTTGTTTACTTATAATAAGTAGATCAATAGTGCATAAGTCCAAGTAAATTCAACTATCAAAAAGATTTATATATTTAAAAACTTTAAAAATTAAAGTAAAGCCAACTTTTGTATTGAAGCTAAAATTAAGGTGATGATGAACGTGTGCAATAATAGCTTTAGAAGTTCATACTAGTCACGCAACAATGTACTATAATAGATTCTTTATAATTATAAATCATCTTTGACAATTACATTATATTAATATCATTAAAATTAATTAAATATTTCTTAGCTATGTAATCATATTTTTTATGATTCAAGTTGCTGAATAAAACTTCGATAACAATATTACCACAATTTAAATGATTATGTGCGAGCTTTTAATTAGTAATGAAAGGTACATACATATGTTGAGTTTATTGATTCATATTAGAATATGAAATAATATTAAACTATTCTTTAACTACGTGTTATTTTTAAGACGTCATAGTTATTTTTTTATAACTTGGTATATAAAAAAGTATTAAAAAATAAATCCATTTAAAGTTATCGAAAGAAAAAATTAATATATTCAATAAATTTAATACGAATAAAATTTAAGCATATTAAAATAACATGTTGAAAAATGTACTTATTTTTATGCTTGTGAGTATTTAATTCTGATAAATAATTTAATTAGCATTAGTTGTGGCATAAAAGATTTAATTGTCTCATTTTTAATTTTATTCCATCAACTTCAATAAAACTATAATTTTTAAGCTAGTTTTAGATAGGATAAAAAAATAAATACTTAAGATCTATAAATATATAGATGTTTTTCTTGTTTTCAAAAAATTAGTTAAGCATTAAATTGAACGTAAAATAAGTTACACTTAAAATTATTTTATTTTTTAGTAGAGCTTTAATTAAGTCAAAATTAATCTTTTGCGAATTTTATTTGATTAACATTAATGCTGTCCAGAAAATTACATCTTTAAAATACAATATAGTGTAACATCTATTCATTATACATATTACATAAATTATTTTTCAAAAAAAAAGAATGTTTTTACTTTTATTATGTAAAATAAAATTTAACTACCATTTTTGTTAAAATAACTTTTCTGTAATAACTTATGTACGTAAGTGTTTATGTTTCTTGTTACAAATATGTAAGGTAAAAATTATTATTCAAAAATAAATAATTTTACACTGTTTCTAGATTTTTAAATGTATAACTTGCAATGAAAAGACAAATGAATTTATGAAAGCGATTGTAGATGGAATAATTATGTATGAGGATTGTCTTAAAACTTTAGGAGATTTATTCAATCTACGACATCAAATGAGTACGTTAGCAAATACTATACTGTGTCATTAATTAAGATTATTATTCGCTTTTTTTACTCTCCTTAAAAGAATTTTTAAAAATTTGAATGTTTACTTTTTTATTATATATATTGACTTGAAATCTTTTTATGTACTCTCAAATTTTATTATCAGTAATGGTTTTTCTATAAAGTATAAAAAACAACTATTTTTTTTTAAATTGGAACCTTATATTTTTTATAAATATTCTTTAATCTGTTATTTATAAATAATTTTTGCGTTTGAATGAAAAAAGATGGAACGTGTATTTATAAAATGATTTAATTTTAAATAGAAAGGACATTAGTAATCTCACTTTAAATATAATGCACTCGCATTATTAAAAGATATAGTAAAGGGTATTAAATATTAAATAAACATATCAAATTTTTCAAAATTTTTCAATAATAAATAAACTTTAACCAATAAATTTTACATATTATAATTATATTTTATATAGGATATATTGTGTTTACTGTAAAAAGTTAATATTATTTTTTTAATGTAAGTTCTTCTGTTATGTAAGTAATATGAATTTTCAACATAATTTTTAAATGAAAAATGAGAAATTGCAGTTTTTGAATTTTTTATTATTTTTGGATTTTCATAGAGTTATAAAATCGAATTTTTAAAAAATTTCTATCTGAAGAATATAGGGAATTTTCACTATTTTGATTATAAATTAAGAAATTATCTGTACTGATAATCGTAAAAGTTTTTCAAGAATTTAAACAAACATCATATTAATATACAAATAGTATGACTCAACAGACTTATATTTTTATTATACGATTATTTTGTTTATTTAGACGTATTTGCAAGCATAAACAAATGATTAAATAGAACAAAATTTATGTTAAAAACTATTTGAAAAATCTAATTTTTTTAATTATAATGATTGTCAGACAACCTATATATCTTAGTCAAAAATGTATTTCTTCAGAAACTTATGTTGCAATATATGAAGCTGTGTAATCTTGTAACCAAAACTTTAACATTTAAAAAAACAATTAATTTTAGGTTCATTTTTATTTAATATGCTTTTATCGTAATTTAGTAAGAAAAGGTTTTTTGCCGTATCTCCTACCAAATTATATTAATTCGGTTTCTTCACAGAAGTGTTTCCACCGAAATATTGTCGCCGTTGTTAAATATCTAAGACTATAGTACGTCCTATTAGGCCACTTCTTGTAGATTCAATGAGTCTTGTCTCTCTGACAAAATTTAGTATCTCTATGAGTTTTAAGTTTTTGATGTCTTCTTTATCGAGAAAAGATTTTACCGAATGTTTACATATAATGTAAAATGAATCATCCTTTTATGTTTTACATTTCCAGCACAATGGTGATTCTGTCACCCTCATTGTGTAAAGATATAAAAATTATACTGTAAAAATAATTAATAATTGCCCCATTAAAATCTAAAAATTTTAGAATAATTATAGTAACAAAAAAATGTTTAATCATATAAATGTGTTGTACAAATGACAATTGTTATATAAAAGTTATAAAAGATTTTTAACGCATGAGGGACATAAAACAATAGACGTTGTTTTGAATGAATATGCGTAGAACTAAAACGATTTAAAAAAAAAAAACCCAGCACGGGGGGTCACGGCACAGTGGTGACGTGGTATAGATGGATCAAGTATAATGATATCTGACAGTGATTAAAATCACTATAAAAAAAAAAGGCTTCGATGCAAATCTTTAGATAGTGTTTAATTTTAAAAAATTGAAGGATTATTCCAAAAGCTTCATAAACTGATAGTTCCTTATTAATATCCTGATTAAGATAAAGTATGTCGAATGAAAAAGGGATTATTAAAAAATAGAATTTCCCATAAAAAAATTATATTGATTAATACACTTTTCAATAAGTTATAGCATTATAAAGTTAAAAATGTAAAAAATAAAATTGAGAATTTTCACACAATAATAGCATTTGGTAGCCATTTTCATCGTGAAGACAAAATAAAGTCCGAAATTTGTTTTTTACATAATAAAGTAGATTACATTAGCTTTAATTTAATATATATA